TGTTCATTGTCGCAAATAAAGAGCGTGGAAATCCGAGAAAGCTGAAATTCGCCCAAGCGAACGCTATTAAATGCACCATTGACCAACGGGCCAGGCTAAGATATTTATTTTGTCAAGCCAAAAACCTGGACGTCGTCTGCCTCCTGGACAAATCCAAAAATAAAGTCAAGCGCTGCTCATGTTTTACGCCACATTTGCCGGTGCAAAAAAAAAAGTCAACAAAAAAAAAACACTCCCACACACACACACACAGAGACACTGGCACACACAGCAGTAAAGCACACAGGAAGCAGCCAGGAAACTTTACTTATAATAGAATTTTCAAGCATGACCATACCCTCAATGACATCAGGGTAATAAGGATTTTGGCAAGGACTTGAAACGAGAAATATTATAAAATAAAAAACATTAAAATATGTATCAAAATTTATGTATTTTTATTCGTTTTTACTATTTACTTTTTAAAGGAATTTATAAAATTGTTAGAAAATGAAATTATTCTTTACTTTGTCATAAACTTTAACAGGAATAAACCGTTTTAACCAATTAAAAACTATTTTATTACATAATATCTTTCAATTTCTAAATCTCTAAACATATCTGTAAGAGTATATCCTTTATCCCCTGCCAAAAAAGGTCCTTTTCCACTGACTGCTCCTTCTGGCTTCTGATGCTTTGCTTCTCTCACTGCTAGCCACAAATTGCCTTTTTCGCACGTTGATTGATTTTTGAACTTTTTCTTTCGGCAGAACCCCTTGCTCCCCAGTCCACACACAAAATCACAGATACTCACACACAGATACACACACCAACACAGCGCCACACACTCTACTTTGAGCACAAAAGTGGTAATAAAATGGCTGCACTTTGGGATGCCATCGCAATTGTTCGTATTCGAGCTTGGCCAGAAGTGACCTCCATCGATCCAACGGCTATAGTGGAACACATAATTATTTATTTACGAGTGTTCATTCATTGATGAACACAAACGCTGTTTATATTGCTCTTTTGCCTTTCGACCCGATGCGAAAATGTGAGGGAGGATTCAGGCCAGGTTCGCCTCGAGTGCGGTGCTCTTTGGCTCTTCACTTTTTTGTTGTTGCCAGGTGTAAAAATAGGCAGTGACGTTGTCAAAGCTTGAAAATAGAAAAAAGGAAGCATACAGGATAGCCACAATACGAAGTATTTACAATACAATTGTGAATATAAGCGAGCAAGGATTAGAAAAGCTATGAAAAGGGGCTTAAAGGTATTAGCTTTGAAACTTTAGAGCTTAATAATTATCAAGAAAATAAAGGAAATCAATACTTTATCTCCTTTATATAATTTACAAACCTTCAAGGTTATTTAAATTGATTTTTTCTGGTATTTTTAGCTTAAGGATTAAGCTGCGCCAAAAGGACTTCGCATAGCGTCCGGCTTAATACCGGAACAACAAGGGTCCTATATATAGAACTGTATGCATAATGCATACCATTTTGCAGGCATTAATCCGACAGGAGAGAGCCTTGAAGGACCCTGCTGCCCCAGACATATCCATTATTGAAAACGGAACGCCAACAGCCTGTGGGTGCGTTGTACACAATGCTATTATAATTATAGCCGTATGGATTAAGGCAGGCACCACCTCTCTCTCTCTCTCTCTGGAGCAACTGGAGGATTAACTAGGGGTCGGTTGGGATAGGTGGGGAACCCACCACACTACCTGTCCGACTTGTCACAGGGGAAAAATAGTATGGGCAGGCATAGCACTTGAATTGAGACTATAAAGTACCTTTTACTTAAGGAAATCTTTAAGGATAAATAATAGTTAGGAGCGGAAAGGGATGAAAAGGGGTTACTGAGACATGCTTTATTATTTATTTTAATATTTTCTACCTTTCCTCCAGATACCTTTTCTAATGTTTATACCCTCTTTTGTCTTATAAGCACCACCACTTAAAAATAATAATAATTTGCAGACAGTCCTGCTGCTGATCGTTAGTGGAAAGTGGAAAAAACCCAGACACTGGCTGCTGAGAAGGAAGCGATTTACATAAGTTATTATGGCAAACCGCACATAACACACACACATGTGTGTCAGCTCACGTGGGGATGTGTCCGAAACTCGTACGAATGGTAATGGGAAATGTCAGAAATTGTATTTCACAAACAGGCCCTCATTCCGGGCCGTAATACTCCGTGTATTCCCCTCTGGTAAGCCGCATAATCAACGCTAATGGACATGTTCAGGTAGTATTTTGAGAAAGGCCAACAAAGCTGCACTTTAGTTGCGGCGAAGCCAAGTCAAAGTACACCTATCAGGTGCTCCGATTTTTCTTGTTACCTTTTTCTTTTCCCTCTTTTCTTTTTCCATCCGGAAAAATTGTGTTAAACGTGCGAAAAACAAGTAATTTGCCATTACTCAGCTGCAGAGAGGCTTGCCCTTGATTTTCTACCAATTTTTCTGAAACTTGTTGAGGCATTTCTTTGTTGCTGCTTTCATGTTGATTTTTTTCCCTTTGCCCGGGTCTTCCGCCACTTAGATATAATGAGAAAGTCTTCGGGGCGGAAACCCTTTTTTTGGGAAAAGGTAAACAATAGCCTCCAGACGGCTTAATTGAACATTTTCCTCGTGTTACGCCATTTTCCAAATCATTTCAAGTGAATGTTCATCGGGAAGCTAATGAAGCCAGCGTGGATTTTCACTGAGGATCCTCTCAAGTGGCCTGAACTCTGACCTTTATTAAGCACAGGGACGGCTGGAATCGTTATATTTGTCACAGAATGCGGACAATTTCATCCGTTAACGAGTGCCAGCAAATTGCCAAGTCGTTTTGACATACAACTTGGTACACCGGAACGTGTGGCCATTAAAATCACGAATTCCATTGCCATTCGGAGGGGCAATTAAATATTCCCGGCCTGGACCCCGGCTCGAAGGCTGGATTAGGCCATAAAATTGTTGTATTTAAGGAGCCATAAATCTTGATCTCGCCATGCTCTGTCGTCAACGTTCGCAAAACAAAAGCGTAATATCCGCGAACTTATTAAATATTTCCCATAAAAAAGGGTTCCGCCGAAAAAGGTATACAGTGTCGCAAAGCCTTTAAGCCCAAGACCCAAAACGAAATTCTTCAAGAGTGTAGAATGAATGGGGGTGGAAAAATCACCGAGAGGCCACATAGGGGATGCTCTATAAAGTTAAAAATAATTTATTATTGAAATATTAAAATTTCGTTAAAATTGTTAATGTTTTTTTAAGTAAATTAAGTTGAAATATAATGTAAATATTAGGATATTTAAAGAGAAACCAAAAGAATTGTATATTTATATTTTTTTTTAATTATTTAAATATATATTTAATGAAAAATAAGGTAAATAAATTGATTAAATACCTAAAAACTATTTGTAAATATATTTTAAGTTATGTATAAAATATTTTAAAAGATTCTACCTTCTACTTTATAATTTATTAATTTTAATATTACCTACAAATCGCATTCCTTATCCTTAACCCCCTTTAAAAAATCCAAAAAATACACCAAAACTTATCCAAACCTAATAAAATTCCAAATTGAATCCGTCATCGAGTCAAGAGCGTTAACAGAACAGAATAGAATCAGCATATTAAGTTACACATATGCTTTGCCTTTTCGTGGATTTGTGTACAAACGAATTTCTTACAAAATAAGGATCTCGGAGTGAATGTGCGGCATGCATAATAACCCTCAAGCATCGGGGAACAAGCCCTTAACCGCCGGAGTTTGCTAAACCGTTTATAACCGATTTCAGGTAGGGAATCCCGGGAAGGACGAGCAGGACGTGCAGGCATCCGTGACACAGTAAAAAACCCAAGGCACACTGGGCACCGTCATGAGCCATGGGCCAGGGGCCATGGGCCGGGCCAAGTGGTTGGGACTACGTGGCATTATAAAGGCAACAGCCACGGCCACTTGCGCACGTCGCAGTCAGCTGAGCAGGGAGGCAGGCCGAGGCGGCTGGGCTTATAAAAAATTAAAATGTTTACGCTACATTAAATGCAAAGAAGGCATTGCCGGCGAATTATGATTTTGTGAGTGGCAAACGAACGCACTCGCACGCCTCAGCCACCTTATGGCACCTCTGGGAGTGAGTGCGAACAACATGGCGTATGAGCAATGCATGAACTACATGGCGTATGAGGAACACATAAGGAAATGCCTGCAAACTACTCAGCGTATGAGCAACACCGGCATTGAACCAACTAAGACAATTTGCACACGCCATCGCAAAATGCAAATGTTTTTATGTGATGTGCACAATTTCAGAGAATTTCCATCACTAGTTTCCGGTTTTTCATCCCTTAGATCAAAGCATTTTCGTGTATAAATGAGAGCCTTTATTGGCCTTTTTATAATAAATACAACTGGTGGGAATGCAATAGGAGTTTATAAAACCAATATGGGCTGCCCTAGAGTAACAACTGGCAAAATTATACAATTTATCTACCAAAAAAACAACTGATGAGCAATTAATTGGCTTTCACACAAAATCATTCAGGTGTGAGATTAATTTATTACTCGGCAAACAACAAAAGGTAATGTCTTTCTTACGAATAATAATATATTTACATAACAAAAGGCAGCCGAATCTCCATTTCAAGGCATTTTGTTGTCTAGAAAATGGGCCTCATTAGGGTTATTAGGGTAGTAAACCCTTGGTTTAACTGGGCACTTAAAGGAGCTGCCACCAGCGGCTGTTAGGTGATGACAGAGACCTTTATAACCCACAATTTCTTTCTCAGAAATTGCACACAGGCCTCCCCATCTGGAAGGAAATTTTCTGGCTTTTAACCACTTGAACGTTTATAGGGAGAATAAAAGTTTCTAGCGTCTGCTAGCTAAAAATATTTCGGAAATAATTCCATGATATAAAATATATTCCTTTATATTTTTTAGATATTTTAAAGACACCTCCAAGCACGTAAAAAAAAAAGAATAGACTTCCAATCACCACCCCAAAAAATGCAAATACTTTTATTACAAGCGAACAACTTTATACTTCCACAGCATTTCCATGACAAACGGATGTCGGCTTTCCGCCATTTTTACTCGCATTGAAAGCTGAAACCGACCTGCTGGATGAAAGTCAGGCACAAAAAATATGTCCTTGTTCTTCAGATAGTAAACCTTTGGCTTAATGGGGCACTTGAAGAAGCTGCCATTGACCACCAGCGTTTTGTAGGCGGCATCAAACACCTTGCTTATAAGGGGATTGTTCAGAAATGCGCAGCCATTTATGTTTTCCGTCTTGTACAGAACTTTGTGGGTTTTTTGCACTTTCATGTTTATGTCGATGGTAAAAGCCGCCGCCAATTTGACCACACGAAAGGTGTAGAGGAAGTCGGTGTTTGGGACTTTTCTGAAATACTCCACATAGTCGTGGTCGCAGCTCGTTTGCAGTGACTCCACTGTGATCTGCTTGTTGCCCGATTTGAAAACATGTGGCTGCAGGAAATGGGAATTTTTAATAAGTAATTTTTTCTATAAAATCGGAAACTCATTACATTATCTGCTGCTTCCAGGGGAAGTAAGCAAAAGAGCCACAGCCAAAAAAGACAACTAAAACTCGGAGCCATGGAGGAAGAACTGACCATAAGCTTTTAGCTTTTTGCCTACAAATCAACTGATGAGCGATTAATTGACCTTAATCGAAATTATTCAGGTGGAATGTTACACTGTCTGACACTTTATTTTCCAACAAACAAAATGAAAATCATTAATGGAGCACATGTGCCAAGCATAAATATGTACCATTTTTCCCTTTAATTGAAATCTGTTCTCCATTCACAATATTTTTATTTAATTTTAACCACATTATAAATCCACAGCATTTCCATTACAAATGGTCCTGGACTTTCGTGCATTTTGACCCGCATGGTGACCTGGTACTTGCCAGGTGGATGAAAAGTGGGCAACATTTCCACAGAGCCCTCGTTCCTGAGGTAATATACAGCCGGCTTTATCGGGCAGGTAAAAAAACTTCCATTCACAATCAGTCTCTTGTACACAGAACCAAAAACGCGATTCATGAGGGGATTGGTGAGGAAGTAGCAGCCATCCAAGTTGTCCACTTTGTACATAACGCGTTTGGTTTTCAAAACCCTAACAGCCACATCGATGGTGAACCTGGATGCCAGTTTGACAACTCGGAATGTGTAAAGGTTATACGAGTTGGGAACTTTACGGAAATACTCCACATAAGTGTGGTCGCAACTGGTGATTAGATCTTCCATGATAAAGTTAGAGCCTCCGCGCCTGAAAACTGGTGGTTTCTAGAGAAGATTAAGGTAGTTGTTAAGGGATAATAGATTTATTTGAATTTGGGAACTAATACCTCCTTATTTGCAGCGGACACTAGTCCTGCCAGCCAGACTAGAAGCCACATGCAGCCACCGAAAGTAGAAAACATTTTTGGACTAAACCACAAACCTATTATTGCCTCTGTTTTGGCTTAAAACCTATAGATGAGCTATTAATTGTTCGCTTGAGTTACTAATTGAGGCAGGCAATGTTGGTTATCAGTCAGTGATTATTGCAGTGGTAGTTTTCCGAAAGAAAAGTTGGTTTAAGCCAGTTAAAACCGATGTTTAATTAACAATTTATTTACAAATTCATGTTCGTACAACTTTATACCGCCAGATGAGCTCTATTGTAATGGGTCTCTTCAGTTCACGTTTCATTCTGACGGTTAAACAAAATGTTCCAGAGGGATGAAAAGCTGGAACCATGTGAGTTCCAATCCTGTTTCTCAGATAGTAAATTCCCGGCTGAATAGGACACTTGAAAACTGTGGAGTTGCCCACAAACTCTTGGTATAAAAATGAAAAAAGCTTGGAAATCTGACGATTATTTAAAAAACTACAAATGGAAAAGTTTTCCACTTTGTAAACGGTTCGTTTTGTTTCCTCGTTATCAATACGACTGTCCATAAACAGGGTTTTCGCCAATTTTGTAGAATTTATCATTATTCTTTGAGTTTCCCCGGGAGCCAAGCCAAAGTAAGCCACATATTCCCTATTGTAATTCAGTTCAGAGCTTAGTAAAGTGTACTTTAATTTGCGACCAGTTTCCTGTGAATATGATTCTAAATATATATTTTACCTAATTTTAATATTTTTCATAGCATACCTTATCCTTTGCCTTGATTTCCATGGGAATAAGGCAAATGCACACAAATAAAATACAAGAAATGTTTCGGGCAATCATTGAACTAAAACTAAATTAACAGAATTCGAATTGAACAAGTTTTTAACCGCAAACCAAATAAATTACAACAATTAAATGATTAAAAACCCATAAAGATTATCGTTGCCATTTGATTAAAGCTCTGCTGGGTTTCTGTTTTTGTGGTCAAAGCAAATAAAAGCTGAATCAAATTATTCTCGCCCTTCCTTTTCTCGGACTTTACTTTTTTGTTTTAATTTTTTTTTTTCTGTCACTGAATTGGCACTCAAACTGAATTGAAAGAGCTGCGGATATTGATTGGTTTTAGGAGTCTCTCCATGGATTTTCCACGTGACGTAGAGAGCAGGTGGAGGTTAGAACAATGACATTGTTGAGCATTGTGCCAGATTCCACGCTTTGATTATTCATAAAGGTATCTGTTAGTTATGTTATTTATTCCAGGTTGAAATAGCTAAAATGTTTTTATATATTTTTAGTTTTAATTTTAAGAAGAATAAATAAATAGTTTCTAGAAATATATTGGTTTAGCTTTTCCCTTTAAATGGCCTGACCTTGTTAAATATTTCCCCAACGTCACTGACAATCGCTTGGCCCCTGTCTTGGACCTCGATTAGCTAACGAGCTTTAAACCCTCGACTGAATAATTGAACAGACGCCAGACAGGACATCAGTCGTAGCTCCCCCCTGCAGGTGGTAAAAAATCAATTAATCGATCGCCAGTTTTAGTGTCGTAACGCAACTGGGAAAGCGTTTTGCCAATTGCAGTTGGCCAGTGTAATTAAGAATCTATTCTGGGGACCTGCGGGCGGGCGACTGCTGATATTGACACACTGGTGACACGGGGCGTATGCGCAATGCCCGGCGAGCAGGTGGCTAATGGGGGAATTCACTTACCTTTCGCCATCATCGTTGAATGAGAAATCGCCGAGGAGTAGATCTCGGAAGCGATAGCGTGGCTGTATAATGCGCGACATGTTGCTGTTGCTGTTACTGTTGGTGCTGCTGGTGTTGCTGTTGTTGATGTTGCTGCCGTTAATAATGCTACTGTTGCTGTGGCAGGTGTTGCTCGTGGTGTTGCCAATGTTGGTGGTCGTTATGGTCGGCACTCTTAGCTCCGTGATGGTTCTCGCCCCTGCCGCCTCCCCGGTTCCGCCACTTATTTGAATATCACTAAAGTCCGTCACATTAATTAAGCACTCTTCGGCAGCGGCTGCATAGCCCCGTCGTCCCAGATGCTCCTGCTCCTGGAGATGCCTTCGTCCCGCGACGAACTCATCCTCGCGCGGCGCACTGGTGCCCGTTAGCAGGTAGCCGCCAGTGGCCCGATTGGGCCGCGGCGAACGGAGGCGCGTCCACAGATTGGCGAGTGTCCTGCCAGCCGAACAATGCCTTTTCCCGTTTACCCCTCAGAGGTTCTCAGCTGGGTAGGTGGTCACCTCGAGGACCCTCCGCGGAGCCCAGCTCTGACGGTTCCTTAATTAAACCGATGGCACCGGTGAATTTATTAGCATTACAACGGTCCCGCGACAGGTGCGTGCTCGTTTATCGATCTCCGTTCGGACATGGCGAGCTCTGAAAATATGCAAAAAGGAAATACGGGAAATCAATAAAGGTGGAAAGCATAAAGAAGCCATTTATATATGGAACAATTTGTTTATGGATATACTTGAATCCTGAGCGAAAAATAAATTGAATTTCCTTCTGGCCTATTCTTACCTTTTGCGTATTCTGTGAAGCTTTTCCTTAACTCTAGTAAGGTATAATAATAATAATATATAAATAATATATTTTAAGGATTTTTGTTGTTTTGAAAATGGGCCACATTAGGTTTTTAAGGGTAGTAAACCCTTGGTTTAACTGGGCACTTAAGAGAGCGCTTTTTAGGTGGTGACAGGGACCGTGATAACCCAAAAGTTTTGAGAAAGTCACAGCTCTTAAAGACCCCCAGCTGGAAGAAAATTCCCTGGCTTTTAACCACCTAAATGTTTATATAGATAATAAAAGTTTAGAGCATCTCGGAGCTAAGAATATTCAAGAAATAATTCCGTGTTATCAAATATATTCCAAATAATATAATTTATATATTTTTTAAATTTTAAAAACATCCTTAAGAACGTTGAAAAAACGAATGCAAATGCTTTTATTACAAGCGAACAACTTTATACTTCCACAGCATTTCTATGACGAACGAAAGCCGGCTTTCCGGCATTTTCAATCGAATTGAAAGCTGATAGCGACCTGCTGGATGAAAGTCGGGCACAGGAACCATATCCTTGCTTTTTATATAGTAAATCTTTGGTTTAATGGGGCACTTGAAGAAGCTGCCATTGACCACCATCGTTTTGTAGGCAGCATCAAACATCTTACTCATCAAGGGATTGTTCAGAAAGGCGCAGCCATTCATATTCTCCATCTTGTACAGAAATGTATGACTTTTCTACACTTTCATGTTTATGTCGATGGTAAAAGCCGCTGCCACTTTGACCACACGAAAGGTGTAGAGGAAGTCGGTGTTTGGGACTTTTTTGAAATACTCCACATAGTCGTGGTCGCAGCTCGTTTGCAGTGACTCCACTGTGATCTGTTTGTTGCCCGATTTGAAAACATGTGGCTGCAGGAAATGGGAATTTTTAATAAATCATATTTATTATGAAATAGTAAGCTCATTACCTCGTCTGCTGCTTCCAGGGGAAGTAAGCAAAAGAGCCACAGCCAAAAAAGACAACCAAAACTCAGAGCCATGGAGCAGGAACTGACCATAGGCTTTTAGTTTCTCGGCCACAAATCAACTGATGAGAGATTAATTGGCCTTAATCGAAATTATTCAGGTGGAATGTTACACTTTATTTTTCAAAAAACAAAATGAAACAATCATTCACAATGTTTGTTTTCCATTACAAATGGTCCCAGACTTTCGTGCATCTTGACCCCCCAATGGTGACCAGGTACTCTTCCTTAATTCAAAAATAGTCAGCAAGTATTTCTAATTATTGGATTATTGTGATACAACTCTTTGTTATTCCTGCAATAAGCCACACTTCCCCACTTTCTGCTCCTTAAACTCTAATTCACTTCTCAAATGCAATAAGTAACGCTTCCTCATCACCATTTATAAATAGCTAACCATTTCGTACACAAAATTTCAATTCAACCGCATTGCTTTGCCTTTTGAAAAACCTTTCCAGCTTGACCCATAAATCCCCGCTGTCAGCAATCCAATTCACGTCAAAGAGCAACAAATTCAATTCAAACAACACACGCAAACAAGTGCCAAGGACGAGCAAACAAACAAACAAACAAACAAAGAAACAAACAGACAGTTGGACACATGAGTGAGGAAGGTACAAAGCCCTATATAAAGTGTGTGCGTATATAAAGAGAGAGATGCTTCAGTTTGGGCCCGTGTGCGGGCTTATTATTTACAGGCAGCCAAATCAAATCATCTCTTAGACAGACACAAGGCACACAGAGCGCAGATTGCTGGCACTTGAAGGTACTCTTCGAGTGCGTTCCACTTGCCGCTTGTCTGTTTGTGAAAAATTTACGCAATTATTGCCGCCAGGACAATCCCGGGCCAGGTGTGCGCGCCGGTGTGCTCGCTAAATAAATACATAAATTTTCTACGCTCATTAATTAGATTTGCGCCGTCGTGCATCTCTGTCTCTGGCAGAGCATTGGCATATTTATGTGACTGCGGAATATTTCACTTTAAAGTGTTTTTTAATTAGTTACAGCAAATTAGCGCCAGCGAAATTAACAAATTTGTACACAGCATCTGTCTCTATTTTCTGGATCTCCTCCTCTGGCGCTGCAAAATTAGTTTCTCGATTAGATTTATAGTTTTCTGTCGGCATTAAAGTTTTAGCCAAGGAGCTCGTAAATTAAGGCACCAACGGGATACGGCTTGTGGGAATAGCAGCAGCAGATTCCGAGTCCTGGTTTAATAAGGCGAGAATAGAGATTAAATTCAACACATATATTCTACCAAATTAATTATTAAAATGGACGGCATCTGCATAATTCATAATTTGGGTAGCAATTTAAAGAGGGTTAAAAGAGAAAGCCAATCGATAAAAAACACAAACATTTCGCATTTATTCGAATTATTAACATATAAATAGGGAACTAATATGCAAAATAGTTGAAAATTCCATAAATAATATTATATGAATATTAAAAAAAATATGTTGAGGCATTTTTAAAGGTAAATAGTAAGTTTCTGTTGTAACCAAACCCTCTTTTAATTTAATTTTCATACCCCCAGCAACTAATCTGGTCGATTATTGATTCTCTCGGCTTTGGGCTCGTTAGTTTAACAATTTATTTTGGTGGTTTCTATGCGATTTCCTGCCCCGTGCAAAACCCATTTAATTTCTAATCATTATTTATGGGAATGCCGTCACATTAAATGAGGTTTCCCATTGTTAGCTCTATGCTCAGGGAAAGATATACATGCCCAAACCCCCTGAAAATCGACAGGAGCATAATGTCTTAATTATGTTTTTGCCGGCGCACACAAAACGATTTGCTGGCCCACGCATAGATGATATTTTTTTGGTTTTTGTGATTTATAGACTCCTCTCAGGGGCCTAGGAAAGTGAGAGAAGAGGATCTCTAAGCGGACAGATAACAAATTATTGTTTTCCATGCACAGGATGGAGGGTACGAAGAAGCCTTCCATTATTTTCCAAAAAAGAAAAGTCCCACTTTGCGTGCCGTTAAGGGGTTCGGAAGGGGGCGAAGCGGAGCTGGGCCCATATTTTCTATACCTTCATATAGTATATGCGTGTGTGTGTGTGTGCGTATCTGCCTGTGTGGGTGTATTCATCAACAATAATTGCCCAGACCGGTGCTCCTAAGCCTTTCGCTTTCGCGTGTCTCGTTCAGTTGGCCCCAACCTTTTGTTAGTACACTTGGGAAAATATTACAAGATCATTGAAAAATAAATATTTAATAAAATTCAGAGGGTTTTCATTATTTTTTTTTATGCTTAGAGATCTCTGAAGAATTTTACAAAATTGAATAATATATTTAAAATACATTTAAAAGATCAGCAAAGAAAAAGTAGAACGAATTTCCAAAGATTAGAAAAAACGAAGCATACTTTTTGGCGGCACTCAAAACTGAGAGATCATTTATAGCATTTTTATTTTTCAGCCTTTTTACAGCTTAGTTAATTTATTTAAAATCTCTTAATTAATTTTCTTAACAATTTCTTTAGGTGCACTTTTCACTTTCCCATCATCAACACTGTTTGCCAGGGGGGAAGCTCCTTTCTAGCCGTCTTTGTTTTTCTTAGCCTTTATTATTATTTGGCCTACACAATGTCCCGCAAGAAGTCGTCGCCAGTTTGTCTTTGTTTTTTCTCTTGTTGTTGTTGTTGCTTATTGTTGTTGTTATCTTGTTGATGTTATTGCTGTTGCTGCACAAGTATTAACTAAAGGACCCCGAAGCTGCTAAACAAGCCGCATTCGTGGTAGGGTCGCCCGCTTTCGCTTCCGCCACCACTTGTTATTATTATTTTCGTTGCTTTATTTTTTTGTGACACTCGGAATATTTTATAACAAAAACTTGACCCGCTTTTCCGCGAAGGAAATCCGCATTTCCTGCTCCCGTACACCTGCTCATCATCAGTCGACGACTGCTGACTTATTGTTTTTTACTTTTGTTTTTACCATTGTCCCGCCCATATAGTATATACATATATACTCCTCCTCTTTAGTGCCTTAATCCCGGTTTTTATCCCGGGTTCCCTTTTTCTTTTCTCAGCTGTACGGCGTCGCTTAATTAAAATTAACATTTCATGAAGAGCTGCTGGTTGAGCAATAAGAAAATAAAGAAGCAAAGTTGAGCAGGGTGCAAATGGCGTTTTGCAAAACGTAAAATAAAATATATATAAAAGTTTGCTTAATCGTTATATAAATATTTAAGGCTTATGGCAGTCTGATCTGTCTCGTCGTCTCGCTCACTCATCCGATTTTCTGAGTTTTTTTTTGGGCGGGAGTTTCCTCGCTGACTTTCAATTTTCCTGTACATTTTCAGTTCGACTTTGCTTTCTGTTGTTGTTTTGTGTCGCCCTTAAATGATTTTGGGATAAGCTGTTAATTATATTTGAGTGGATTTTGCATTAAACATTCACTCGAAACGTTTATACTGTTGAATTTCCTTTTAAATTGAGTAAATAGTATTTATTTAATAGAATAATGTTTAATTTTAATGAAAATACCTATAATTAATCGCCTAATTTATTACTTAAAAGTATATGGTTAATAAATTGATATATAAATAATGTATATATTTCTTTTAATTTTATATTTGCTTTGTTTAAGACACATTTTAGAATGTTTTAAGAACCCAAGTGATCATAATATTATTTTCTTCAGTGCCTTACTGTCTATCGAGGCTTCAATTTAGTCTTCCTGCTTTATTTTCAAAAGACAGGCTAATCTCTCCTTAATTCCTTGTTAAACAATTACTTTAAAATCGACCGTAAGTAATTCATTGTATTATTGCCATTGCAAGGCAAACGTTATATAATTAACAAAGGCTCTGTGGTAATTAACCCTTTTTTCCTTTATGATGATTTCCTTTTGTTTTATTTGGGGATGATATATAATGTTTATACAACCCTTTTATTACCTGCTGCATTAATTATAACGAGCCTGCTTAAATAAAAGACAAACATTACTTGAAACACACGCGACATGGCAACAGCATAGGTGGAACGAAACACACACTCGTGTGAGTTACTATCACATAAATTCCCGTTTGTTTTTGTTTCATTTTTTTTTTTTATTTTGGTGACATTCGTAATTGAATGCATTATTCAATGGCCAACGAGGGACCACTTTTTTGCGTACCTTTTTTATGACGCCTTAACACTTTGATGGCCGGCGGGAATGGCCAGAGGGGCTTAAAGCTGCTCCTGGTGGCGATGTAAATGTCTTGGCATATTTTATGAGGACATTTCGCAATCGCAACTTTTCCACGAAAAAGAGAAGAAACTTTACTGCATTTACCGTCTCAGCTGGACACGGGGCAGAAACTTTTTTACTTGGTTTCCGCCAGTTAACAACACGATCAGATCACTTTTTCTAAGGATAACTTGGCGGGGGGCTGATTTGTTCCCTGTCCCCCGACTTTACATGTTTGGATTAGTTGGCGCAAACACACACACACGCACAAAACACTCGCGAAGGAACCAACAAACAAGTGGCAAAAGTTTTTTTTTTCTCGCTTTGTGGCCAAAGTTTTTCCTCACCTTGAAAGGCAGGTGAGTGTGCAGTTTGTCAGAATGCGAGAGTAGTTTACGCCGCCGCCGATTCAGGTGTTTCAGAACCCAAAAAAATACCCAAAAACACTAGCCACCGGAGGTGATAAAGCCCGTTTACAGTTATTTTCTGACCGCTCGACAACCGCACGCGCGCATCGCTAAATTTGAACTGAAGCGGAGCGCCAAAACCGAAAGGAAATATGGCAGAAGCGAAAGCGAAGGCAACAGCAGGGAGCGGAGGAAAAGTAATGGTGGGGGAGGGGGGGTGGAAAGCATGCGGCGTGGGCGAAGGCGGCTCTTATCAAAATCAGCTGGTCGCAAAGCTGACTTTAGCCCTTAGCTTTTGCGCCGAAAGCTCTCTGTACATTCAAGGATAAGAAGATAGAAGCAGTTTTTTCATAAATATTTATTATATTATAAGGGTTTTTATTTTATTATTTATTATTTACCTTAATATAGTAATATAGTAATTTAATAATTAATAATAATATAATAATTTAAACAGTTAACTTTATCAAAGATGTGTATTGCCTACTTCTCGGCAGCTCTTTCCGGTGAAAACAATCTTAGAAAATTAAGTTTCCTTTTTATTAAATACTAAATCCTTGCAGTTTGCAAATGTTTTATTAGGATTGATCCAATTTGGTAACTAAGCCAAACATATTTTTTACTGAAATTATATATATGTTAAATTATGACTTAAAAACATTATAATGAAGCAAAAATTAAAACAATTTTTGCAAATAAACATTTGTATAAATTGTGGTCTATTTTAACCCCTTGTAAAATTTAAAAACAAAATATGAAAATCTATACTCCAACTAATTTTACATATTAAATTTATTAACAATATTCATAATATTATTTTTAAGTTATTTATAAACAAACTAATTTGTATTCCAGACGCTAGATGGCGCTTGTTGCTTAATTTCGATAACAGCACTATTCGATGACATTTCAATTAATGGATGATCTATCGCTGATCGAACCCGATTCGCTCTTTGGTTTTACCTTTGTTTTGTCTATTTTTTTTCTGCTCACTCTCTCTATCTCTCTCCCTACCTGCTTGTTCCACTTTTGGCCTGCTGCTCTCCCACTAATACCAACAACATACGTAAAAGCGGTTGGGCTCTCACTCTGACCCGCACACAAACGATCTTCCCTCCCGCTTGACTACAAATTCCGTTTTATTATTGACAAACAACCTAGAAAACAATGGAAAATTTCCTCAAATTGTGTATAAATAAACTCATAAATTTCTACGTTGTAACATACGATATTTTTCAACCAAATGCCTCGACTGTACTTATAGAACATGAAAACAATGGGAAACATTAGGTGTGTCTGGCTATATCCTTCAAACAACCTTCACAAACTTAGAACACTTCACATTAGAGCTGTATATTAATTATTACAATATATTGTTTATTTAATTATTGTCATATTATTGCAAATTGGTTTTGGGTTCCGTTCCTTTAGACTGTTTTCTGGCTTCTGATCAGATGCTCTGCCCACCCAACGACCGAAACCCATTGCCTCCATCCGTGTGGCCCACCGAGACCCGATCTTTGGCAGTGTACAAATCCCCACACAGACTCACTATTTCCGGCTCTCTGCTCTCTAATCGGAGGCTCGTTTCGTGTACGTGAACGGGAGAGCCGGTCGATGTATGGTGGTGTGCATGAATGGCGGCCACTCACCAACACCATCGCACAGTGCACTGCTCTCTCGTGATCTCGCTTTCTGTGTCGGTGTCATTGTTGTCTTGCCTGTATTGCGTTTCCTGTCGCAATTACCAATACCACCAAAGAATTGAGGGCTCTCTGGCTCTCTGTTTATGTCGGCTTCGGGTTGATTCGGTAAAAAGCCAAGTGGAAAGTGATCAGCTGTGGGAGTAACTGATTTGGAATAACTTTTGTTAAAAATATAACTCATTTTAAGGGATTTAAGGGTAAGTTAACAAGCTAAACTGTACTTTTTTCAGGCTAACCTTCTCGAAGTATTTCATCATAAAGTCCAAAGCTGGTTCAGACCAGCTACCTTACTTATATAAAAATATAAAAATGAACTCAACCACCACGTGCTGTGAACATGAAGGTCTGTACATATCTATACATACATATGTATGTATTTTTCTTCTTCGTTCTTTCTCTTCCCCTCTCATTCGCACCGATCTGGCCATCAGGGTATAAAAGCCGGAGAGTTCGCTCATTAGTGACTCAGTGAGCAACAACCAAGCAAGCTAACAACAGCTAACTGCTAACAGCAAAGCAAATACCAGTTTTACTCAAGCAAATACAACTTCAAAGTCAAGATGAGTGCCAAATCCCTTTTCGAAAGTGAAGAAGACGTCGCCCAGGAGCACAAATTTGCGAGGAAGGCCAAGGAGTCGCCCTTCATGCTGGTGGGCATTGCCGGATTCCTGGCAGCCGGACTGGTGGGAGCATACAAGTACCGTAACCGCGGGTCGATGAGCACCAGTGTCTTCCTGATGCAGCTGCGAGTGGCTGCCCAGGGAACAGTCGTCGGCTGCCTGACCGCTGGACTGGCCTACACCATGGCCAAGGAGTACCTGTTCGAGAAGGCGCCCGCGGAGGAGCCCAAGCCAGTCCAGGACTAGAAAGTCATCGCCATCTGTCGCAAACACCAAAGTCCCTTGGCCACCCTGTGTCGTTCATTATTGTTCACCGTGTAAATGTCGCATTCTCATCGCCGTTCTGCCTCGAAGTAGTATTATTTTATAATAAAGAAAATATTTTTAGAAAGTGAAAACAAATTTTTATGATTTTTTATTTTATTTCAATTTTTTGTTAGGTAATTTTTACAGTTTTATCTTTTGACTAAAAATATATGCATTTGCAAAAACTTATAAATTTATTGTTAATTGAAACTCTCATATGTTAATTGTTAATAATTGTTTGTGTGCCTGCAGTATACTATGGCTATTATTCTAACTGATAAATAACTGTATGTACGTATATACAGGTACATGGAATACGTAATACCTTATAATGATTAGAAATCACGAGATACCAATTTAGCAATTACCAGTTTACTATCAACACGAATACCCTTAAAATACTTCATGCTGCTAAGTATTTTTAGAAGAATTTATGAAATTAAAGTTAATCCGTAATTTTAAATTAATTAATAAAAAAGCTAAAAAAGTTCATTCATTAAATTTGATTAAATTTAAATGTTTTACAAATATATCTATCAAATTACCTTTGTATTTTAAATAATTCCCTTTTAATTCAAAAAGATCAGGATATTTATTATCTTAAGTTGGCTAATTATAACATCAATGATTTTACAAACATTAGGTATACAAAATATTTGGTTTATTAAAAACCATTTGTTATCATTGAAATGTTTTACATTGTTGTCTGCAGACTCATATATCTGTATGACTGAAAATAGTTATCAAGGTGCATTTTAAAAATAAGAGGTACTCAGCTAGTTTTATGCATTTGGTTTGGTTAAAAAATTTTTATTTTAAAACATGTATTGTATAGAGATACATTTTTTATGGCACAAATATATAATGGGTACAAATTAAAAATTAAAATAGCATGGAATGGCTAATAGTTCTCAGTGGTGCGGACGTAGTTAACACCTGAGGGCATGGAGACCTTGTCGAAGCCCTTGGGGAATAGTTTGTGGGCCTCTTCATCGGTGACGGTGGGCAGGATCATGACCTTGGTTCCAGGCTATCAAAAAATAACAATCAGTAATCTGGAATCCATCAATCAATCGGCTAAATAATACTTACAGTCCAGTTGGCTGGAGTGGCCACCACCTTAAGGCGATCAGTCAGCTGCAGCGAGTCAATGGTCCTCAGGATCTCACTGTAAGGTATAAGAATCATAAGCAAGAAGTAGGACATATCAAAAAGAGAGAAACTTACTCAACGTTGCGGCCCGTGGACATGGGGTAGAACATGGAGAGGCGCACCTTGTGGTCCGGACTGATGATGAACAGCGCACGGATGGTCTTGCCCACCTCAGGGTCGCGCTTCTGCTCCTCATCGAGCATGCCCAGGCTGACGGCCAGGTCCCTGGTGGGGTCGGCGATGATCGGGTATGGGAAGTCGCCGGGAATGTCCAGGCAGTAGCTCTTGATGTCGTTCACCCAGTCGACGTGGGAGTTCAAGGCGTCCACGGAATGCGCCAGGCACTTGGTGTTCCGCTTGGCGAACTCTGGCTGATGGACAGCGATCCTTCCCAGCTCAGTGGTGCACACCGGCGTGAAGTCAGCGGGGTGCGAGAAGAGCACCACCCACCTGGGGACCGGAGGAGAGGGATCGTATGAGCCCAAGAGCCTTAAGAGAGTTCAGTGGGGTCTACTTACTGGTTGCCCTGCCACTCGTGGAAGTTGATGGGGCCCTTGGTGGTCTCGGCCTTGAAGTTAGGTACAGTCTGTCCCAAACGCATCTTGATGGATCTTTTGAAAGGTTGGTACTTGGATATAGGACTTGGTTTTAGTTGTTAGCTGTTAGCTGGCTGTGGTTAGCTCGCTCACGTGTTGCTTACTGATTTCTGACCGGGCGAGGCACCGGTTTATATACCCGGCGAGATCGAGTGTCTGAGTGAGAGCAACAGAGACGGGCGACGAGCGACGTCTTATCGCGTGTGTGTATAATGTAGTCAGAATATATATACAAGTATGGGGTGTGGAGATTAGATTAATAAACAATTCTAAGCAGCACCTAGAGGGGAGCTAAATGTAGCGGGGGAAGGAGGAAACCTCGACTCGTGGGGTGCCTCTATATAGAGGAACCTGATTGAGGCCATTTTTGTGTTTCCATGCAGCTGGCCTCGCCCAGCTTTGGACTTTGTGATGAAATGCTTCTAGAATAAGTGGTTGAAAAAAGTACAGTTTTGTTTATTTGATTTAAATTTAAATGCCTTCAAATTAGCCTTTTTTATTGGAACTTATCCTCCAAACAGCTGCTCCAACAGCTGATCACTTCCCAGCTGATTCCTGAACCTCGGGTAACCCGAAGTAAACATAAACAGAGAGCACTCCACTCGATAATTGTATTGGTAATTGCTATACAAAAACCAACACAGGCATGGATACTATCACACCGACACAGAAAGTGCGAGCACGAGAGAGCGGCGCACAGTGCGATGGTGATGGTGAGTGGCCGCCATTCACGTACACCACCATACTTCGGCCGGCTCTCCCGTTCACGTACACGAAACGAGCCTCCGATTGGAGAGCAGAGAGCCGGAAATAATGAGTCTGTGTGGGTGAGTCTCTCGGGGATTCGCATACTACCAAAGGGCCACACGGATGGAGGCAGTGGGTTTCGGTCGTTGGGTGGACAAAGCACCCGATCAGATGCCGGAAAACAGTCCACAGAAGAGGAAGCCAACATCAATTTCCAAAAAAATGGGATTCTAATGGAATATCAGTTAATAATTGTGGATATACAGCTTTAAAGTGAAACGTGTTTAGTTTGTGAAGGTTGTTTGAAGGAGATTTTCAGACACATATAAATTCTACAGTTCCACAGTAATTTTTTTCATATTGTGGAAGTACAGTTGTTGCACTTGACAAATTACGGTGCATTACAAAGTGAGACCCAGAAAGACCCGAGTTTATTATACCCAGTTTCTGGTAGTTTTCCATTCCCCGCTTGACAGAGTTATGCCGTTTTTAGTTTTTAATTTGCTGTTTTTCTCATTTCAATTACAGACTTTCCATCACCATTGCCATCGCTCATCAGTACCACCCACCCCGGCCAAAAACCAAGGGAAAGGACCAACGACACATGCAAAAGGATGGTGGATAAGGGATGGGAATGGAGGAACAGGGATCAGGAATCAGGGATAAGGAGAGAGCACCGCCAGTCAGGTCTGCCGGCTACTTTTACAACAACAGCAACGAACACAACAAGCAACATTTTAATTTTAAAATACTTTATTTTATTCTTTGTTAATGAACCTAAATAAAAACAATGAAATACATTATTTAATATTATTTTGTTTTATTTTATTTTTCCTATATAAAAACAATGAAATGAGCATGAATGGCAGTTAGTGAGATGCCTATAATTTATAAAAAACCCTCATAAGTGTAATTTAATTATTTTCTTAGTTTTATTGCCGCTTTAAAAGGCGTTTTCCCAATTTTTCTTTTATTTCCTGGTTCAAATCAAAAAGTAAAAAAAATTGCATACTTGTAGGCATTTTTAAATATTATTTTGTAATTTTTGCGGCATCTTTTGCGCTGAATTTTTACGTCTTTGATACAAAATTTAAAGTAAGGTATACTTTTGGGCGGGAATGAATGCAGGTCCACGTATTTTTCTTTTATTTTTCTGGTTTAAATCAAAAAGTAAAAAAATTGCCTACTTTTAGGCATTTTAAAATATAAGTTGGTCATTTTTGTGGCATCTTTTGCGCTGAATTTTTAAGTCTTTGATTAAAATATAAAGTAAGGCATACTTTTGGGCGGGGATGAATGCATCTCACTTGGAACAGTGCTTGTCAAACTGTAATCTGAACTTCCGCCTAAAAGATGCCACGTTTTTAATAGAAATCCCCAAAAATATGCTTTAATTTTTTAATTTTGCGTTTTTGGCCGAGTTAACGCATGAAAATGTTACTGCTATTTTTGCAATTGTGAAAATGCTAACCAATAAGGTTAGCCGGCGCGCCCGTTTTAGGGCAGAATGATTAGATATTAAGGTCACAAAGGGGTAAATAGCACTCCGTATGCCTTATTAAATATAGTGCAAAAAAAAAAAAAAAAATTCGGATGAATATCACTGATGCTAATGAGTATCACTGATGCAAGTGAGCAAAATTTCTAAAATTTGGCCGCTTTCCAAACTGGGGTAAAAGGCGAACAGAAACCAGCAGCAAGCAACTGAACACTGGTATAAACTGTTATAAAAACTTTCGGGCAAAAATAATAATTGGTGTAAACTTTAATATTCCATTTTTATGCATTTATACCTATTTGTTGCCGACAACAACAGCTTGATGGCAACAACAACCTTTTTACAACAACATCCCTGCAGCAGCCCATACAAATTTCTGAAATTTGCAAATTTCCCGTTTCCCAAATTGGGGTAACAGGCGAACAGAAACCAGCAGCAAGCAACTGAAAACTGGTATAAACTGTTATAAAAAGTCCAAGTTTCGAACCATTGATCTTGGAGTAAGCGAAGACTCAAACCAGATGTGACCATATTGTAAATTTTTTGGCTAAAATGTTGCCTTAATGCACCTGGGCACACTGAAACTTGGAAAGCGGCCAAATCGAATGAAAAAATTTGCTCACTTGCATCAGTGATGCTCATCTCCATCAGTGATGCTCATCTAGCTATATTGCAATATTGGGAGGCTATAAAATCGGGCTTAATGGCAGTGAGGCTCATCTAGCTATTTTGCAATATTGGGAGGCCATATATCAGGCTTAATAGCAGTGATGCTCATCTAGCTATATTTCTTTATTGGGACAAAATAGATAGATGAGCATCACTGATGCAAAGTCAGTTTCAGTGTGCCCAGGTGCATTTAAGCAACATTTTAGCCAAAAAATTTACAATATGGTCACATCTGGTTTGAGTCTTCGCTTACTCCAAGATCAATGGTTCGAAACTTGGACTTTTTATAACAGTTTATACAAGTTTTCAGTTGCTTGCTGCTGGTTTCTGTTCGCCTGTTACCCCAGTTTGGGAAACGGGCAATTTGCATGGAAATGTTCAAAAATTTGGATGGGCTGCTGAAGGGATGTTGTTGTAAAGAGGTTGTTGTTGCCATCAAGCTGTTGTTGTCTGCAACAAATAGGTATAAATGCATAAAATGAAATATAACAGTTTAAACCAATTATTATTTTTGCCCAAATGTTTTTATAACAGTTTATACCAGTTTTCAGTTGCTTGCTGCTGGTTTCTGTTCGCCTGTTACCCCAGTTTGGAAAGCGGCCAAATCGAATGAAAAAACTTGATCACTTGCATCAGTGATGCTCATCTAGCTATTTTGCATTATTGGGACAAAATGGCATCTCACTAACTGCCAGTGATGCTCATCTAGCTATTTTGCATTATTGGGACAAAATGGCATCTCACTAACTGCCAGTGATGCTCATCTAGCTATTTTGCATTATTGGGACAAAATGGCATCTCACTAACTGGCAGTGATGCTCATCTAGCTATTTTGCATTATTGGGACAAAATGGCATCTCACTAACTGGCAGTGATGCTCATCTAGCTATTTTGCATTATTGGGACAAAATGGCATCTCACTAACTGCCAGTGATGCTCATCTAGCAATTTTGCATTATTGGGACAAAATGGCATCTCACTAACTGCCAGTGATGCTCATCTAGCTATTTTGCATTATTGGGACAAAATGGCATCTCACTAACTGCCAGTGATGCTCATCTAGCTATTTTGCATTATTGGGACAAAATGGCATCTCACTAACTGCCAGTGATGCTCATCTAGCTATTTTGCATTATTGGGACAAAATGGCATCTCACTAACTGCCAGTGATGCTCATCTAGCTATTTTGCATTATTGGGACAAAATGGCATCTCACTAACTGCCAGTGATGCTCATCTAGCAATTTTGCATTATTGGGACAAAATGGCATCTCACTAACTGCCAGTGATGCTCATCTAGCAATTTTGCATTATTGGGACAAAATGGCATCTCACTAACTGCCAGTGATGCTCATCTAGCAATTTTGCATTATTGGGACAAAATGGCATCTCACTAACTGCCAGTGATGCTCATCTAGCAATTTTGCATTATTGGGACAAAATGGCATCTCACTAACTGCCAGTGATGCTCATCTAGCTATTTTGCATTATTGGGACAAAATGGCATCTCACTAACTGCCAGTGATGCTCATCTAGCTATTTTGCATTATTGGGACAAAATGGCATCTCACTAACTGCCAGTGATGCTCATCTAGCTGTTTTGCATTATTGGGCCAAAATGGCATCTCACTAACTGCCAGTGATGCTCATCTAGCTATTTTGCATTATTGGGACAAAATGGCATCTCACTAACTGCCAGTGATGCTCATCTAACTATTTTGCATTATTGGGACAAAATGGCATCTCACTAACTGCCAGTGATGCTCATCTAGCTATTTTGCATTATTGGGACAAAATGGCATCTCACTAACTGCCAGTGATGCTCATCTAGCTATTTTGCATTATTGGGACAAAATGGCATCTCACTAACTGCCAGTGATGCTCATCTAGCTATTTTGCATTATTGGGACAAAATGGCATCTCACTAACTGCCAGTGATGCTCATCTAGCTATTTTGCATTATTGGGACAAAATGGCATCTCACTAACTGCCAGTGATGCTCATCTAGCTATTTTGCATTATTGGGACAAAAAGGCATCTCACTAACTGCCAGTGATGCTCATCTAGCTATTTTGCATTATTGGGACAAAATGGCATCTTACTTACTGTCAGTGAGCTCATCTAGCTATTTTGCTTTGATGTTTCTTTCATTTTCCACCGCAAGAATGCCCTTCCA